CAGCCGCGCTGGCCGAAACAGCCGCGCTGGTGACCGTGGAGCACCTCTACCCGGGAATTTCCTAGTCTGTGGGCAATAAAAACACGGCGTCCACTCACCCTCTGCGCTTTCACTGGGAGCTGCAATCCTGAGCTGTTCCTAAACGGCCATCTTGGATCCACCCCTTCTGGAGCATGGAAATTATACTTCAGCATATTTCAGCTAGTCTGTCAAAGTTTCACTTCTGTTCATGTAAAATAATAATAATGTAGACACATAATTCCTCTGTTTCTATTTGGTAAAATAGGGAGGAAAAAAAAGTAGTAAATGGGAGTGGTCATGAAAAAATGGAGAAAGTAGAAATCAGTGAGCATTTAATATGTACCAAGTGCTTTATCTATAACACTTCATGCAATCTTCACAGTTGCCCAGTGACGTGGGTTCTACTAGTGTCCTTACCTTACAGATTAGTAAATTAAAGTTTAAATAGGTTAAGTCCTGGGTTACAGAGCTAGTGATCTCCTGATCCAAGATTCAAAGAGATTCCTATAGCTCCAGGATTGGTTATTTTAACTACTGCCAAGTAAAGATCTTGTGTCTTATGGTGAATGGAAACAGCAATGACTTTCTTTTTTTTCTTTTTTAAAATTATTTTGGATTCGGGGGGTACATATGCAGATTTTTTGTTATATGGGTATATTGCGTAACACTGAGGTTTGGGCTTCAATTGAATTCATCACCTAGTTAGTAAACCTAGTACACAATAGGTAGTTTTTCAACCTTTGCTCCAGTCTTTTCCTTTCCACATTTAGAGTCCCCAGTGTCTATTATTTCCAAGACTTTCCTTTTAACCAAGAGTCAGAGACTCAAAAGTCCCCTTATGTACCTTTAGCCAAATACAGCAATCCCTTCTAGACGTCACTTACTGATGTCCATCCAGTGAGCCATAGGGGCTCTGAGTTAGTTTAGATTTTATAAGTGGAGGTGGACTCATCCATTCACTTGTCTGGCACTTCACTTAGGGCATTTACATGAGGCAAGCAGGCCAGGATCAGAGATAATCTATCACTATAGGAGAGAAGAACAGAGACCATGAACTTAGCCCCAGCGGCACCTGACTCCAACCATTGTGCAATCTGGTCCTTTGCTCAGACATGTCTGCTCAATAAGTCCTTGTAGAATTCACAGTCAGTTTTGCAGCTGCATTACCTTTGCCCCAAACATGGTTAGAGGAATCAGCAGGTGATGATCAGCCAGGAGCTACATGATTTCTGAGAGGTTTGGCCATTCTTTGGTTTCTCTTTCACAGAATACAAGTGATGCCTTCAAACTTGAGTTCAGTTTCTTACGGTCATTTAGGAGCATGCTGGTTTTTGCAATAATCTACCAGTGAAATTATTATCAAGGTCTTGGAAAACACTCTACTGGTCAAGAAGAATAGTGAGTATTGGTGACTTCTGCTGTTTCAGAAATAATGTCACAAATATTGAAGGGGGGAACTGTCTGTGAAGATGGAATAAGTTAATATTTTTGACCTATTGTTACCTCATTTTCAATAATTCCTTGGACATGATTTGGAAAAGGGAGAGTGAGATGTAATTATATAGCATGGATTTTGTTCTAAGAGTTTGTAGTCCTGTTTCGGTAAAGAACACCTCTTGATCACGCCCATTTTCTTTCTCCCACACTTATGCATTCCTTCAATAAATATTATCAAGCACCTTTTGCAGACTAGGCTTTTACTTTCTTCCTTGTGTTCCCTTTGTTTTCTGATTTTTTTACCTCCTTTCCCCTCCATCCCCCTTTCTTTCAGCATTGACATCTTCAATATTATGCCTGGAAAATGGTGATAATATCTGAGAAGTTTCTTAAAGTAAGAATGTAGATGAGAGGCAGGGTTGGAGAGTTTTGTGGATTTATGTGTTTTGTGTGGTATTATTTTATCCGTATCATCCAGTTTTCTCTTATTTTCTCGCTTAAAGCATGCCTAAAGACCTTTTAACTACTCAAGAATAATTCTCAGCTTGTGCCACTGCAAAATTCACCCATGATGACTGGCTTCATCCTTCTTGGCGTGACAGATAACTCTCAGTTTGAAGTCCTGCTAATTGGAGTCTTTCTTACTGCTTACATCATCACTGTTTTGGATAGTCTAGGCCTGGTGATTCAGAGTCAGCCCCCACCTCTACACCCCATGTACTTTTTCTTCTCAAATTAGTCCTTCCTTGATGTCTGTTTCTCTTCCATCACAATCCCAGAGACTTTAGCAAATTTTTTTTCTAAGCTGCATTGTTTCTTTCCTTTTCCTGTCAACCCAGAGGAGCTTGTTCATAATCTTTGTCTCTGATGAATGTAAATTTTTAGCTTCCATGGCCTGTGACTGCATACTGTCATCTGTCACCCACTGTTCTACTGCATTACTATGTCAAGAGGCCACTGTCTTTTCTTGGTAGTAGGATGCTACCTTGGTGGGTTAGTTAAGATGGTCACTGTGACAGCTTCCATTGCACAACTATTGTTCAGTCAACCAGGTGTCCTTCCTGCCTTCTGTGACATTCCCTCATTGTTGGCACTGGTTTGCTCAGATTCCTGGATCACCCAGATCTTGGTGGCTGGCTGTGGGAGATTCACCCTGGCCATATCCATTGTGGTGATCCTTGTCTCCTACATGTCTATCATCATGACTATCCTGGGAATTCTCTCAGTTTCTGGAAAACAGAAAACCCTCTCTACCTGTACCTTCACTGCTGTTGGCCTGTACTACGGAACAACTATGTACACTTACTTGCTGTCCCCTCGACATGGATCCAGGGCAGGAAATCAAATGGTCTCAGTGTTTTATACAATGGTGATCCCCATGTTCAATCCTCTCATCTATGGTTTGAGAAATGAGGAAGTGAAAGTTGCCCTATGGAAAACACTAAGACACGTCGTTAATCTTCCATTGTGGGTCTCAAAAATGCAAAATATTCTGTGGAGACTTGCTCATGGTTTTATTCACAGTGCTGTTCTTGCCTGCAAATGAAGCCTTGTTAAGAACAATGGAATTACTCTAGCTAATTGTTTAAAAGTAGTTGTCTAGATAAACAGCAACACAGTAGGCAGGAATTATATGAACAAAATAATATATATTTTCTGAAACAATTGCAGACAATTGTAAGAAATATTTAGGAGGGAAATATGTATGTGGGTATAAATATGTCAATTTAAGTGGTAAACCTGTGTGATAACCCTAGTCATGAGTTAAAATAATTTCAAGATGACAAGGTTAGGACTTATATAATATAATATGACTATAAGTTATAGACAAGAACATGGATGGCAGCTGGGATGCAAGCAAATTTGCTGCACCATGTATGTCCTTATATTGAGGATTTATTTAGTGTGCCAAAGACTAAATTAAGTTCAGTGCATATCTGTCATAAAGATTCAGGACACTTCTAAATGTTTCTATTCCAAATGCTCTACCAGCACTGCACTGTGAGGCTGTAAAATGTAAGCATATACATGATTTCTCATGTGCAATTATTAAGATTTATAGGGGTAAATTTTAAATAGGGTGATAGCTAAATAATAGATAGGGCTCACTAATTAGAGTTTGGAAATCCTTTGTCAAGAACAATGAATCATTGGTTAGTAGGAACTCCAGGCCTGAATTGCAGTTACGATTTTTCTATATGCAAATTCTGAGTGGACCAGGGCCAGGTCCATTGCTATTCTTGAATATACTTCTAACAGACAATGCAAGTGTAAATAAAACCCCAATTAATTCATTAGTCCATGGCTAGCTCATCCTCAGAATTTGTAACATTGCATGAAATTCTTGGATATTGCTATTTTGTGTAAATATATTGAACATTAAGATATTCTTGAAACCGGCCGGGCGCGGTGGCTCACGCCTGTAATCCCAGCACTTTGGGAGGTCGAGGCGGGTGGATCACGAGGTCAAGAGATCGAGACCATCCTGGTCAA